ATAGCATAGCATAGCATAGCATAGCATAGCATAGCATAGCATAGCATAGCATAGCATAGCATAGCATAGGCTGGTACCTCGGGGGGAAGGGATGCCTCAGCATGGGCCCGCAGAGGCACCTTCTTCCCCACACCACACCTCACCTCCACCAAACATATCCCTCCCTTTCTTTTCTTTTTTATAAAACACAACAGTTTCTTGTGCCTTTTCTTGGACTCTTCCTTCTGTTTTGTCCTATTCCAATGTGTTAATTTTGTTTTATCTTTTATATTATATTTTATATTACTATTCCTAAGATGCCTGTTTGTTCTCTGATGAGAGACAGAAAGGGAATGGATCTGGATGGGAGGCTAGGTGGGGGGAACATGGAGGAGTAGAGGGAGGGGAAACTATAATCAGGCTATATTATGTGAAAAAAATCTACTTTCAATAAACGAGGGTGGGGGAAGAGAAGAAGAGACATCCTTTCCTGGTGTGGTGGTTCATGTCCAATCCCAGCATTCAGAAGGAAGGAAGAAGGGTCTCAAGTTCAAGGCCACCCTAGACTATTGAGACCCCTCCCCACTACACATAAAGACAGGGCACCCTAATATGGAGTTGCAGTCCGTTACTAGCATCACTGAAGAGCTGCTTGAAAAAGAGATAACCAAGCAAGGGTCCTTTCAGGACATGGTTTACTGGCTTCCTTAGAACCCAGGCAGTATTTGCCAGAAAAAGACAGTGAGTGGGTCAGTGTGCCAGGCAACAGCAGCTGAAGGAAACCCCGCTTACATGAATCTTGAGAGCATTTGATGTGATCTGAGAACACAGGCTGTTAGTGTCCATGAAATTCTTTATAATATGAACAACTCTGGACTGAGAATGAGGAGTTTCCTTGGGTTCATGGTCCTGCTGCCAATGAGCTGTGCGACCTTGGGGAATTAACTCACGTAACTTCTCCAGCCTTTAGTTTCTTCTATAAAATACGGGGATTACCAACAGGCTTTCAGTTCTGGCAATTCTGAAATGCACGCACTGCCTTCTTTATCCTTAAAATAGAACTTATTTTGAAAGCAGATGGGCCAGGCACTAGAAAATGGCTCCTGGCATTCTCAGTTCCTTTCAAGGATCTATCTTCAGAGTTGTATTTAGAAATCCCTTGAAGACCACAGGACCCTTAGGTATTATGTGAGCAAAGATCAAGGCAAACTGTACAAATGAAAGTAAACATATTTTGAAAACTAAAAAGAGTTATAAAAATTAAAAGAGTTAATTCCAGGCAACTCTAACAGTGCTGAGAAGATTCTTTCAAACAGTTTTGTGCTGCCTCATCTTTTTCTCATTCTCTTGGTACTTTCAACTTTTAACATGCCTGATATTATTTATCTCCCCAACAGCTTGGCAGGTAAGTAGTGTATTAAATACCTTTTACAAATCGGAAAACAGACATAAAGATAGTCATTAACTGAGGTCCACGACATGAAGTTAGGAGGCAGCCAGAGTGTGGTTCCCAAGACAAGGTTCCAGACTCCAGCCCCAGGGCTTTGTACCTCATTCGTATCAAGAGCAAAGCATCAGCACCTTTGTTCAGATGAGTGGGGGGAGGATGTGGAACCCCAAGAATGACCACCTTCCTGCTTCTATGAAACCTGGCATCCCTGAGTAAGGAGGAGGCAACAGATAACACTGTGGACTGAATAACTACCTCAAGTCCCTCATATGCCACCAGAGAGGTCAAGAGATAGTCTTGATTTGCAGTTGTGCCTAGGCAGTTCCTCTCAGACTGACCTGTTAATTAGAAGGCTCAAAAATATATTTCACAGAAAAATGTGTGTGTGTGTGTGTGTGTGTGACATTTGCAGGGCAGTGGAGCATTTATATGGCTTTGTTCCATTTGCATTTTCAAGTTTATCTACTTCTCCAAATGCACTGTGAAAATAGAGAGACAAGAGACACATAAAAGAGGAAATGCATTTGTTGCACGGTAGAGTAGTCTGGTGAAGCACCCAGTGGAGATGCTAACAGAAAAGGAACTTCTCTGTCCGTGGGATTGACAAGGCAAGCTGGCTAGGGTGGCGCCTGCGTCAGCATCTGGAAATGTGGTGAAAGTGAACCTGCCTCTGATTTACCCATTCTCAGAAGGATGTGGCTTACAAAGCCAGTCCTTCAGGTGTAGGATGGGAGAAGTGTGATCGACTGGCAGCCCGGATGCAGTCAACACGGGTCGTGGCTGCTGAATAAAACCAACCCTTCAACTCTGGCAGGTGTCAGAGCTAGGTGCTGGGTCACCCTCACCTCAGATTTTCATTTTCTTTTACATGAGTACCAGATGAAAGATAATCAGAGCCCAAGAATCTGGTAAGGAGAAGGCCAAAAGCTGGCGCTACCACCCACTCACGTGGTAGGGTAGGTATACAGCAGCTCTTCCCACCATTCCCAATGCTGCAACCCTTTAATACAGTTTCTCATGCGTGGTGATCCCCAGCCACACAATTATTTTCATTGTTACTTCATAACTGTAATTTTGCTACTGTTATAATCATAATATAAATATCTCTGATTAAATGGCCTTCGGTAATCCCTAAGGGGTCACAGCCCACAGATGGAGCCTTGCTAGTAGACAGTCTCCATGTGCTGCGGTGGTGAAGGCCGAGCACAGGGTCCACACTCGGAGTACCTGTGTATGAGTTCACACACTTTTGATTAGAACTTTGCAGTCCTGGAGGATTTGAGGTAGCCGTTCTGCACCTCTCCATATTCCTAGGCAAAATGGGGAGAAAATGCCTACCTCAAAAGCATGTAGGGAATCCTTACATCACTGCCCAGGGACTTTGTTACTGTCAAGCATTAAGTAAATGTTAGTTGTTATCATGACTGCCTTATCCCCAACGCGTACTTTTTTTTCCTCTTTGAGTTAGGAAGTATTGAGCCATGTCATGATGAATGTGGTGACAAACACCATGTTAAACGAGTGCCAGAAGGAACTGGCTGAGATAAAAGTTCTTCTTTACAACAACCATTACCAACAGTGCTAATGGATGCCAGGGTTCTCTGGGCTGACACCTTCCCCTGGCACAGGTTACTAGCAGAGTTCTCTTTCTCTTTCTCTCTCTCCTTCCCTCCCTCTCCCTCCCCCTCCCTCTCTCTTTCTCTTTCTCTCCCTCTATCTCTTTCTCCTTCCCTCCATCTTTCCCTCTCTGTCTGTCTCTCTATCTCTCTGTCTCTCTATCTCTCTATCTGTCTCTGTCTGTCTCTATCTTTCTTTCTGTCTCTGTCTGTCTGTCTCTCTGCCTCTCTGTCTTTCTCTCTCTCTCTGAAGCTAACAGGGTTCAGCAGACTTCCCTGTCTTGGTTGCGGGAGCTCCTGGAGCCCAGCTAAACTCACAGATCTGTTTTGATTTTATTTCATCTTTTGTTTCAGGAACCGATCACATATCTGATTTTTGACTCAAAGGAGAAAGTGAATTGTATTTAGTAAACCATTTCCCTACCTTTCCAAGGTCCTGTGCAAATGAAAAAATGGAAATCCAACTTACAAATCCCGCACAGTGTTCGCAGAAGGTCGGTTTGAGATAGTTCATCTCCTGAAAATTATGGATAAAGCCTGGTCCCATTTTGCAGTGTAGCTGAGATTTAGCTCTCAGGAAATAAGCCATCATTTCGTCTTTGCTAATTAGGCCATCCCTGTTAGGAGAGTCAAAAAAGGAAAGGATCTTTGACTGTCCTGTCACCAAGTAGTTGCCACACTCAGCTACCCATCTCCCAAAGCTTTGTGACCAAAAGCAAATGAGAAATAATCACTTTTCCTAAACATCCAAAAGGAGGGTGAATCTCAAAGGGCACAACGTATTCAAAGTCTTCCACAATAAGTAGATTCTGTGTGCAAGTTTATAGCTGTGTGTGTGTGTGTGTGTGTGTTCACATGTATGAACACACATGGCTCAGAGAATTATCTTTATTACTGAGTACAAGCTTCCAGAAGGACAGTTTACTAGTGCTTGACTGGCAACAAGATAGAGATTATCACTGTCATGCTCAATTTATTCAGTCTAATTTACTGCAGGCTGCTCCCCCAGTAGCCCTTGTATCTTTGTCCTCCAGACAATCGGCTCATCTAGAGCAGAGTCTCCAGATCTCCTCTACACAGAAGGAACTTCGTCTTCAACCCGCCTACCTGTTTTCAGCTCACCACACTCCTTGCTTATCACTTGTGTATCCGTAAGGACCAAATGCACGTGACACAGGCAAGTACTGGGTACAGAGATCTTGCTTTTCCTGCCCAGTTCAGGATCCCCTTATCCTTCTCTTGGGTCTTCCTTTGGGTTCAGAAGGGCTGCTCCATCCCTGCTCTCTAGCCTCCATAGATCTTGGCCTTCTCACAGCCTCTGCTTAATCTTTTCTCCGTTTCTCCTGTTTCTGGAGATGCCCGAGACGGTCCTTCTCCCAACATCTCTTTCCTTGATTCTGCTGTCTTACCCAGCACTGGTCTTTCTCTCTTACCAACTCCCAAAGTTGTCAAAAACACCAGTGATGAGCATTTTCTTCAATCATTCTATACCACCCAGTCAAGTTCCTCACACTGCCTTTGTGCTGAAACTGCCAGTAAGGACAGTCCTCAATAGTCCCCTGTCATTCTTTGAAATCTCTGACCTCCTGGCAGTGTATACCATCGGGATATATTAACTTTGTGACATTCTCTTCTATAGAGAGCATGCAAGTCCATGCCTCTCTGCTTTACTCGTCCTTCTACTGTCCCCCCTTCTCTGTCTCTTCTGCAGCACCTACTCAACTCATTATTTTCTTCTTCCATGAGTGGGAAGGGATGTCCCACATGCTAATCTCCCCCTAAATTTCCCACCAGAAAGGAATGTTGCACCAGACCTCAGCAACCAGCTAATGCTGATGGACTGAAGATGTAACACGCACCTGTAGCCCACTACTCTCACACATTTGTACGTCAGCTTCAATAGCTTGCTCAGCATCTCTTCCTGGGCAGCCTGCCTCCCTCTCACAGTCAACATAGTCATGCCAAAGCCTGTATCTTTCTTTCTAATTCGTATTACCACGGGTTCCCATTTCTATTGACAATGTCAAAATTGTACCCCAGACTTAAGATCCTTTTATTCATCTCATATGCAAAATAACTTGAATTATACTAACAATTTTTGAGAATAAATCATCTAGTATCTTACCCATTCTAAAAAATTTTCCTGCAATTTCTGCAGACATTGCAGACACATACATCAATCACAAATATACACAAAAATCTAATTTGATCTTCTCGGTAGCTGGGACTACAGGCCTTTGCCCTCAGGCGTCTCACTTCTACTTGTGGCTTGTTGGGATGTAGATAGCTGGTTTGCCTCCCCCCCCCTCCCGAAACTCCCTAGATAATCTTCTGTTTTAAGCCAGATCCATTAAAACCAACAGAATTAATTAAACTTACTGATCTTTGTCTAGCACGCAGAAGGAATCCAGGAAGGGAAAATTGGCAGCTATGCTCTCAAAGTCCTCTTGGGAGATGTAGCCATCATGGTCGTGATCGTAGTTTCGAAACACAGACTGCAAAGGATAGACAGTATCTAGTATTTACTATGGACATGCATAAGTCAGGCACTAAACTTGTGAAAAAACAATAAGTAGATTCTCCATTCGGTCAAAGAGCTTAGGGTCTGGTGGGAGACTACTAAACGGAAAGCTTATTTAACACTACAAAACGGTAAGTAGTCTGTGGAGGGCTTTGAGGTTGGGATTTAGATAAACAAAGGTTTCCTATGGAAATAAAGTGTAAATTGAGACTTCAGGGTTAGGTTAGGGTTAGTAGGAGTTAGGTCAGTGAGTTTATTGATTATAATACCAAAAAAAAAAAAAGAATAGAATATAAAAGAAAAGGAAGCTCTAGGAATTTAAATTACCTCAAAAATTGAAAATATATGTTGAATGCTATCCTCATCAAAATTCCAGTAAGAAGTTTTTAAATTTATATTTGGATGAGAAAGTGTTTTCAAATAAACAAATAAATTCTAAAGTTCAAATAAAAGTCAATGTATAGGCTAAAAATTGTTCAGAATGATGAGAGAAAGAATACACCTCTTCAGAAATCAAGTATGCTAAAGGGCTACTTATCAACAGAAGAGAAAATAAGTTCACACATTCTCTATCTCTCCTGTGTCCAGATATTAGCTTTGAATGTTTCTACGTCTGTGTATAGGTCTCAGTGAGCATGGGTTTAAGTTGTGAAACTGGAATGGAAGGCAAGAGAAGGAAAGGAGGAGGAGCTGGGTGAATAACAGGACAGAGGAGGGGCGAATGGAGAAGGGAGGTTACCAGAGTGGGTGGATGCAAGGAGACAGGGGCTGGGGGAGAAGAGAAGGACCGAGAACCAATAAAAACAAATGTTCTTTGACAACTCCATAATGAAATCTAAAGGAATGAAGGAGAGGAAGGAAGGAAGGAAGGAAGGAAGGAAGGAAGGAAGGAAGGGAGAAAGGGAGGAAGGAAAGGAAAGAAGGAAGGAAGGAAGGAAGGAAGGAAGGAAGGAAGGAAGGAAGGAAGGAAGTCAGGAAGGAAGGAAGGGAGGAAGGAAAGAAGGAAGGAAGGAAGGAAGGAAGGA